GACAAGTTTTAAGGAAAAGATTCTAAATCTAAATATATAGGAAGCACAGAAAAGAAAATCATTTAAAACTAACAAAAATAAGCAATTGCAAAGAACTAGAAATAAGCTCTTTAAGCTGATCCCAAATATGATTTGCTTTTTCTTGACAGCACAGCTGTGTTGCCCAAAATGAGTTGAAGTCTATTATTAAAACAAACAAGAAGTCAAGCAGCAGAAAGGTACAGTGAGTATAACGGGATCATGAATTATAGTGCAATAATAACTCAATATAATTACAAAGCATGCCTAGACTAAAGGAAGAAAATGGATAGGTTTTTATTTCCACAAAAGAGCTCTTCTTGTATTTCTGATGAGACAAAGTGTCTGTGTATAGATTACTACGATAAACCATATGCCCAATCTCTCTGCCATTACTGCAATATTTCACATTTTCATTTATGAAAATCCCACAGACTTAAACCAAAGTAGGAAACAAATGGAAAAAACAACAAATATTATAAGCATAACTGTAGAACAGATTCCACGAGATTCTAACAAATCCTTCTCACTGCTTTGAATGTGTCTGTTTCAGTTGTCACAAATAGTATCACAAGAACTGAAAAATTAGAAGTCACTGTTTTAGTAACTTCAAAGTAGAGTGGTAACATGTATTTAACAATTTTGGTGCCATAATTATTAATATCAGAAGATATTACTTTGAAAATATTGACAATGAGCAGCATATAACCACAGAGATGTGAAAAAGCTTGAGGAATATTAATAAGGCTGCAATACTTCATCCACCACAAACCTATCATTTGTAAAAAATTTGAGATTACAATTAGTTTAGCCAGCAATATTTAGCATCGAAATAAATAATAAAAATAAATAAACAAGAAGGAATTTTCCCCAAGTATAATTGGCTAAGATTTCTTGACAAAGGACTAGTGCTAATACTAATTGACTTGATTTGTGTCATTGTTTGACAATCAATTTCATACACTGGAGAAACAGTTACTTGTCTACCTTTAGGAGTTGCCTCCTATGTCTGCACCTGACTAGTACATTAAGGTTACATCCACCCCCACACTCTGTTCAGCATTGTGTTTTCTTGAATAAACAATTGCTTGTTAAAGTAGAAAAGTCAAACTGGAGCGGAAAATGTTGGACAATACTGAATCTTCCAACATTTTAGGACTTTTTTTATTTGAGAAGATCCTCATTGGAGAGGATGTCTAGAAGGCTATTAATAATCAAAGTCACAAATGCACAGAGAGTAATGTTAAATTTATAAGTGGTTCATTTTCTTATCACTGTCTAGGATGAGATTCTATGTGAAATATGGCATTAATTTTCAAATGCATGACAAGCAAAGACTCACCATCACTGAATAGCTAGCATGTCCAGCAAAATGTGGCTGACACTTCCCTGTCTTGGGGATGTTGCACATAACGGGATCAAGCACAAATCTGTATGATGACAGCTAACACACTCCACCATTACATTGCTGTGCTTAGGGAAACCAACCTCTGTGCTTTCCTAAATTCTTCTTAGGGGAGCTTCTTTGTATTTGTTTTATTTGTTTGTTTGCTTGTGATGAGTTTCCTCTGACAATAACTTCACAACACCTGCCTATGCCTACCACATATGAATAAGCTTCCCAGAGGCAACACTATCACTTCTGACCAATGCTGTAATAAGTAATGAAGAACAAATTTTGTCTAAATCTATTTTTTCTTAGAACACATTTTAATGTTATCTACATTTCTGTAACTTGTGCCTTTCCTATTCAGTAACAAAATTGAGCAAATCAAATCTATAAAATATGACATCCGCAAAACACGTCTATATAACTTTATAGAGATATATGACACAAATATTGCTGAAAGAAAAAAAACTAATTATGAGAAAGAACATTTAAGTCTATGTGATGAGAGTGGTTCTGATTTTGAACATTTAGGCTCTGTCAGCCCAACCCAATATGAAAAATAGACTGGTTTGTGTACAGATCATCTGATCAAAAGAAACAGAATGTGTGTTTGTGGAGTGACTCAAATGGTAGAGCACCTGTCTAGCAAGTGCTTAGGCCCTGAGTTCAAACCCCAGTACTGCCAAAAAAAGAAAAGAAAGGAAGGAAGGAAGGCAGAGCATATAAATATTTTGCACTACTGGATAAATGCCTCCAAAATTTCCAAAATTAGTACTCTATAATAACGGCATTATTTAATCTGTAATTTAATCAAATAAATGTTCAACATTAATCCAGAGTTGGTTTGTTCTGTTAATACTTTCCTGCAACTAAGCAAAGAATTTACTCATTCAACATTAGCTAATATAAGAATTAGTTATTTATGTGTTCATTATTCACTATTGAGAGTCTATTGTATTTTGCATCTTAGGAAAATGATAAAAATGATGGAGGCATGGCTCAAGTGATAAAGCATAAGGCCCTAAGTTCAAATCCTAGTAATGCCAAAAAAACTGAGGAAAATGAAAATGGATATATTATTCCCAACTTTAAGAGGCTTGTAATCCATTAGAGAATAAAAAAATATATGCAAAAACAGTTTAAGTACAGTGTCGAAATAATCAGATTTAAGAAACAATTTATAAAGTTGAAAGACCTGAATTTAAAAGAGGTCAAACTGAGTAAGAGCCATAAATATCTCTGACAGAAGATACACAATTGATGGCGATGGGAATAAATAATAGGGGCAACAGCTACTGCTTTGTGTCTGCAGGAGAAGAGATAATGTTAGAAACAATGAATGTTTTTTTATAATCCTAAAACATTCTTCTCTAGTATAGCATCCCACCATGTATTTTCGGATCAATATAGTTAAGTAACCAATGATGAAATCAAAAGAAGTTCAGGTATTTGATATTTGGAACACATTCAGTATTTATTAACGAACATATACATTCATGCTACCTATTGAGCAATGATGCATGCGAATAAATTTGAATGAGAAAATCAAAAACCTTGTATTAGCTGCCCAAAACTCTCTTGGCTCTGCTTAAGAGGCAAACAATGCAAAGAGTGGGGATGTCTCCAAGGGCATACAGCACCCTGATAGTGGTGTTTTACAGGGAGTCTTAGTGGTGTCATGCAAGATGTCCAAAATATAGGAAGGAGTGTGGAGACCAAGCATACAGAGTGATTTCCCCCTACAATTTTACTCCAGAAAATTGTATCACTTCCTTTTGCAAAGGCAAGTGCTTAGACAGACTAAGCACATGACTTATGAATGGATACATGGCAGCTGTCTTATTTCAAAGAAGAATTCTAGTGACTTATTACAAATTTCTATGCCAGTTAAACAAACTAAAAAGTCACTGGATGTGAAATTTGTACTTGACCCCATATTCTTCCTTCAAATAATTCTCTAAATGTATCTACATACTACTTAAAAATATCAATTACTCAGGAGTTTCAATATGTTGTTTTACAAAAAAAAATTCAAAAACAACATTTCTATTTTTCTGTGATTACATAGAAAGATAGGTTATCATAAATTAAATGCAGCATACAACTGCTTTTGCAACACACTGCAGCAACTAGGGATAATTATTTTCAATCATTCTTTCTCTAGTCTGAGATATTCTTGGGAAGATTACACAGTATTCTAACCATTCTTATTAGGCTTATAATCCACACCTTGTATTATTACTCAATAAAAAAAAAGATTCTCAAAAATTACAAAAAACAAAATTCAACATTGCATTAACTGCCCATAGGTCTTCCTTCTCCCACCTGAAGAATGTGCTTTGTCAAAAAGGGAACAAATCTAATATTCTAAAACCACGAATGGCATGTTGACTTTACTGAATGTCTTTTAATTAAGTGTGTGTTTATGGCGGGGGGTAACTTTATCACATATTCAGGAAATCTACTGATGGTACTTTATAGAGGTCCCTATTTTCTTCAAGGCCCAGGCTGTCTGTTACTCCTTCCCACTCTTCATCTGTTTCTTCTCCTTGTTATACAATCTTTTCAATTAGGAAAATTGATTTTCCTTTTGGCTTTTTCCAATTCCCTGTCACACATTACAAAATTAGTATAATAGAAAAAACAAAGATTCTCCTCTGGAAACTAGAAAAGAAACTGCAAGTACTTAACACATTTTTTTGAGTGCAAAGATAAGAACTTTATTTAAGAGAAAGAGAGCCAGAGCTCTTGCTGGGCAAGAGGGGGTCCCAAACAGGGCTGCCAACATTTTTTTTTTCCCCACTGGGGTTTGAACTCCAGGCCTTATGCTTGCTAGGCAAGCACTCTATCACTTGAGACACAAATCCCAGCCCTTTTTGCTTTAGTTTATTTTTCAGATCAGATCTCACACTTTTTGGCTGGGCCAGCCTCAGACCTTTCCCTACCTTTACCTCCTGCCTAGCTGGATTATAGGTCTGAACTACTAAATTCTATTTTGAAATAGGGTCTAGCTAACTTTTGCTTGGGTTTGCCTTGAAACTCAATGCTTCTAATGCCATCTCCTGTGTAGTTACAACATTTTTGAGGACACATCCATATAAGCATATTAGGAAAAAAACTGCTGCTCAAGAGTTTTGATTCATAAATCCTTTTCCCAGGTGGTGTCTAACCAATTTTTCAAAGGGAATATGTGAATTTTTCAGACTGTAAATTTCAATGCCAAATGAAACTGCAAAAATATAGGTATACCAAAATTGTTGGTTCAAACCTAGGAATTTGGGTATTTTATACCAGGAGAGAGCATGCATTTTCCTTAAGATCACTCCTTATTTTTCAGTTTCGATGTTACTTATACCATCCTCCAGCTGAAATTTTCACAATTAAAAATACTAAATTCCACCTAGGAAGCAGAGATCAGGAGTTCGAAGCCAACCTGAGCAAATAGTTTGTGAGACCCTCTCTCCAAAATACCCAACACAAAAAAATAGGGCCGGCAGTGTCTCAAGTGGTAAATTACCTGCCCAGCAAGCATAAGGCCCTGAGTTTCAAACCCCAGGACCACCAAAAAACCATAAATTAATGGTCAACTTACCATTGTTGTCTCTTGAATAGATCCAAAACTGTTAATAAAAATGTTGACTACTACATCAACAGGAATGCCTATCAATAAAAAATAAGGATATATTTAGTATATGTAAAAAACATGATCAGAATCTTCTTAACCTTTGTTATATATTTTTTCAATCCACAATAAGACCTAAAATCTTTGGCCTTAGTATAACATGTTCATAATTGCTATTAATGTATTTTTCTAAGTAGGGATCACAACACAAATCAAAAGTGAGTTGAGTTGTATTTTATAATATTCATTATTCAGAAATCTTTCCCTTTTAAATTGTAGGAACTCTGGAAAATACATTTACTTTCAAAAATGTTTAATTGGCCTAGTAAATATACACTAGATGGTGTAAACTATTCTTTAAACAATCATTTAAAATAGACTTTATTTTGCATTTTTCTAACCATTTAAAATTCTTAAATTTATTGGTATAATAGTATTCAATAAATATGACTTGTAATTACTATTTTTAATTCATGAAAATACAAACTTAATCAGACATGTAATGGAGTCATTATAAAGATTTCTGCCTGACCTGTTTGAAAATAATTTGAAAGTTCATGGAGTGAGAACTAAGATATAAAGTTACAAATGTGTTGGGTTTTTTTTTCCAACTCATTCTAGCTGCTGGTTGGGTTATCAAAAGGAAAATGTGAATTTAGCCTTTTAGCCCCATAACCACTGACTGATGAGAAACAGGTGGCACATCAATGCAAGGTAGACATGTGACAACCCAGACCACGGCTGCTATGGAAAGTAACTGAGTAGCTGTGGTAATGACCAGAAACCCCCTTTTTTTTTTTTTTATAATGTCCTTGTATAACTGCAGTTGACTAGACACAGCTGCAGACCTTTTCTCTGCAAAGGAGAAAAAAAAAATCAAAACACACTATTAATCTGATTATTTACTAATACATATCCTTAACCAGTGATAAGAATTACACTTTTCCAAGGGAATTTTTCTTCACATAGCCTTTCCTAACTATCAAGAGGATTTTTTTTAAATCATCTCTATAAAGATACAGTCTATGGATTACTTATTTTAAGTATAGTTCTTGCTCTTGAAAGATGGAAAACATGGTAATATTTTGTTGAAATAAAAACAATCTCTATTGTAGAACATGCAGTCACTTTTATTCATAAAGTTAACATGCTTTTAAAAACCATATGGCCGTCTTCTTTCAGCAAAGGCATAGAAGGAATGTTTTATTGATGTGAAATGCTAATAAGTAAGAGAATTTAAATACATACCAGAACTGCTCTTTTTTCCTAAATGAGTAAATGGTTATTCTACAAATTATAACTTTTGTGTCTATGAATGAAAGCCACGTTTGTATCCAGAGTCTAAACTTTAAATCACTAAGATTAAAAATACAGAAGACTTAGAAAACCTATTACAGAGCTTAGGCTACAAATTCACAGCATATACTATTTTGTATTTTCTTTCTGTACTGGTAGCTGTATAAAATTATTAGAGTTAATATTTTGCTCATTAATGAATATTTTGACATTAAATTGCTCTGAACCTAGATACATTGCAGGAGAGTTAACATGTCAATTTGAAATTGTATAATTTTGAGTATCACAAATAATATTTTAAACAGATAAAATTAACTTTTAAACTATAAGAATGAAGAGGTTTTTTGGGGGGTAGGGCAACAAACCTTTAAAATTTGGTCTTATCCTGGGATCATAACTGACTAACAGCCTGTTCAAGATATTGCTAGTGGAGTTGGCAGGTACTCTTGCAAGGTCCTCTGCTGACTGTTGACTATAAGAGAAAGAATTTAAAAAACTTTATTAAGAAATAGCAGGCAATAGAAATGGATAATTTTATCTGGAGAAAAGACTATTTTTTTTTTAGACAAATCCACAACTATTAAATAGTTTTTCAAGTAGAAGTAACTGAAGAGTAGCAAATGAAGTCAGAAGCCCAAGAGATATTTGTATAAAAATATAAACAAAAGTATTTTAGTACTTTAATTTGACTAAATGCATAAAACACTACTCTATGTAAATTACCTTCTATTTGCACATTATCTTACTTGTCTTAAAAAAAACTTGTGAGCAAAGTCTAGGTAGGCACAAAGGGGTATACCTAGTGAAACAAAACAGCAAAAGAACACTTTTTAAACAAAGTATATCATTATTTTTCAACCTAAGCAAAGAAGTATGCATGTACTATAAGATAACCTGGCCAGATAGTCTTAAGCATTCATAAAATAATCATACTGATATTTGTAATGATACTCCCCAAGAAACACAGTGAATACTTCCCTACTGAGTTAAATTTTGGTACCCAGGAGAAATTGGGTAAAAGTAGCTTCTGTATCCTCAGATCAATGAAGCAAGTAAAATACTCTATGGAGTTATCAGAAATAACTACCTCACTATTTTTCTACATTTGTCATCATCTCTTTATTAGGAAGAGGGAAACCTGTCACATTTTATTTTAATTAACTTTGAATAATAATGAGTCAGGACTAAATTGTGAGTAATTTTTTTAAGGCACTTCCTTGGAAGCCAAGGGAAAAAGCTTTATTTTGGGGGATTTATTTTGTTTTGCTACCCACAACATTTTTTACATAATCATTTTCCCTAATAACAAAACACAACAAAAAACTTCATGACAATCACAAGGAAGACTAAAACATGTAGCATTGCCTATCATGAATTGGACTTACTACCTTAGTAGTAAGTCCTCATATCATAAATTATATTAATTTATGTGAAACAAACTTTGATTTGTATTGAAATCAAAACTCCTCCCTACTAGCCAATCATGTTCTGAGTTAATTACCTATCATGCAGTCTTCTCACAAAAGGAACCACTATATCCCATAATCCCAGCGACTCAAGAAGAGATTAGGAGGACTGAGGTGTAACCCAGTCTAGGCAAAAAGTTGAAGATTCCCCCATCTCAATCCAAGCTAGGTATTGTGGTACAAGTCCGTAATTCCAGTCACATGAGAGACATAGGGAGGAGGACTGAGGTCCAAAGCTGGCCCTGGGGAAAGCACAAGTCCCCATCCAAAAAATAACAATACTGAAAGAAGGCTGGGGCATGGCTCCAGTGGGATAGTGCCTGCCTGACATGTACCAGGCCCTGAGTTCAAACACCAGCACCACCAAGAAATGAAAAATAAAAGGCAACCACTATAGGTAAAATATGACAGAGAAAGTTTATGAAGATATAGAAAGACTGAATTGATGCAGACAAAGAAATTATTCAGATAAAATGTTAAAGCAAAAGGTGAAAAACAATTAGTTAAACCAGCCAAAGTGCAAGGGATACAGGTTTTTTAAAATTGCTTCTTGTGGTCATCTCAGTTCCAATATTACAGCTTTAGGGACTTAACACTAGGAATGAGATTTTCTGTTTCATTACAGGTGAAATTATAACTTCCTTAGAGCCAACTGTTATTCCTTATCAAAAGCTGGGACACTCTATAGAGATGAGGGTATGTGGTAAAATTGGATATTAGGATGCAAATTAGTGTTCACACCTATCTACAAGTTTTCTCATTCAAGGGTGGAAAACAGAATTGATTATGAAATATACTTGTATTGGATCAATTAAGGAATGTTATTATTGTGTCCCTTGGTGTAAATTCCCTTACATTTCTTCTTAGCAATGAAAAGACAACATAAAGGTAATCAACATTAATTTTTGTTGTTGAGAATTTTCAGGCCTAAATTTTTTTCTTCCACCTGTAAGCTTAGATTCCAGTAGCAAATTTTGCTATTCCTCCATTCTCTGGTACAGAATTAGTGCCCCTTCTTTGAATATTGTAAGCCCTCCCTTTCTCACTGTACTAATCTAAACACAGTCTGTCCCTAAGATTTCCTTAAAACATATCTTTTCTAAAATTTTATATCAATCATGCCACCATATATATTCCAATAGACACAATTAATAGATTTATCATTTGAAAATTAGTTTGTAACTTGTTTCCATATCTATGTGAAGCATACCAACTAGACAAAATGCGTATGGTATGGTTATTGAGGGCTTCTATATTTTTGTAGCTGTCTGTACTATTTATTTAGTCCCAAATGCACATTGGTTCAAGCACCTTCCATATGCAACTTTTGTATGTAGATTTCAGAATCATGTTGTCTGTGCTGCAGTAGGGGTAGCAGTTTCCGTAATCTTTTCTAGACAAAGGAGAACGGGCCTTCATTAGTCCCTCTTAGGAGAGAGGACATTTATCCCCTCAAGAGATTCTGAGCATTGATGACTGCCAATCAATCACTGGCATGGAGGAAGAAACAATTATAATTGGCTCAGATCAATATTCAGGTACAGAATTGACAGTGTTGAGTCAACCACATATCTACTGCAGCCTTTCATTTGATAAACATATACTAAATTGAAGAGATATTAACCACACATGAAACTGGTTTTCAGTGGAGAAAAGGAAACAAAACAGGTTGGTAGAAGAGTGAGCAAGAGATAAACAAATGAGGCAACAGAGTACATGATATATGAGGAAACTAAGACACAGAAACATCAAGGGGTTTATCTAGTATGGTAGAATCCACAAGAACACCTGGGCAGAGGCCTTGCTCTACTCACTCATAAGAGCTCTTCCTTACCATGCATGAGACCCTGAATTCTCCAACACTACAAAAAAAGGTGGGAGGAAAAGAGAGAGAGCAGGAGGGAGGGAGGGAGGGAGGGAGGGAAGAAGGAAGAAGGAAAAAGGAAGGAAGGAAGGAAAGAAGGAAGGAAGGAAGGAAGGAAGGAAGGAAGGGAGGAAGGAATATTCCAACTCCCAGCTAAATATGCATTCTACAGTAAGCCCTGCCTTAATAGAATGAAACATTGTCTATCTTCTTATTACCATCATCAAAGGATAAAATTAAAAGTTTTAATGTCTTTATTTTCAATTATAAAAATGAAGCAAAGCTTTATTCCATAAAACAGAATAAATGTGCCAATGAATCCAGCAGAAGAGGTTGGTTTATAGATGGAAAAACAATAATAATAATAAAAAAAACCCAAAATGTGTCATTTCAAAGTTCCTTTCCTTATAAGGCAAGGATGGGGAGACAGAGCAATAGAAAAATAGCTGGCTAACATGAGGTTACTTCAGGTTACTTTTTTTGTATAAATGGAACTTTATTATTATGCCAATTGAACCTAGTCTATTTACAAAGTAACTACTTCTCTAATTCTGACATCTTGGAAGGAAAAATATACCTTAGGTTCAATCTGGTAGTATGACATTAAGTGTGAAGGGCTCCACTTTGAGCCTGCTCAATAAGGGAGCCTGGTTCACAGCAATGGTCTCATAAGTTTTAATTTAACACCATCCATACATGATTGCTTTAGGGTTCATATATGGCACCTTAGGTTCTATTACTCTTAATAGTCATTTTCAAAAATCAGTGCTGAAAATAAGAATTGGCCAATTCTACCAAAAGCCACGTTTTTTTCTCATATGTGGAATGCAGACCTAACACAAATACAGCAATATTAGGAAAAACTGGTCACACAAAGTGGAGGTCATATACGAGGAGGGTAGGGTAGAAGAAGGAAACTAAGAAGATGAATGTGGCTTGATATTCTACCTATACATGGATGAATATAGAATTCTTAAAGAGACTAAGGTAGAATGAAGAAAAATAGAGGAGATGAACCAATTGGCTTATAATACATATATACATGGAAATATCATAAGGAAACTCCTGGTAGCTACCTTTATCTCAAAGAAGCAAAAGTGTCTTCTTTTCTTTTTACTTCTACAAAATCAGAGAACAGGAGGACAGAACAGGTCCTGCCCAGGGTGGATTGGTACCAGTGGAAGGGAAAATGGCAGGGAAAGGAGATAGGAGGGTGAATATGGTGCAAAAACTATGCACACATGTATGTAAATACAAAAACGATACTTGTTGATACTATTCAGGAATGGGGGGACGGGGATGAAGGAGAATGATGGAGGGGGTGAATTCAAGTATGATGTATTTGATACACTGTAAGAACTTTTGTAAATGTCACCATGTACCCCACCCAGCACAATAAAAATAAATAAAATAAAAAAGAACTGGCCTATTCCACAACTTATCAGTGTCACTCTTCAAGCCATCTCCAAATGTTTTATTTCTTCTCAGTTAAAAACAAATTCTTGTTTCTTAACAAAAAACTTAATGTCAAATTAAAAAATCCTTTGAAAATTAAACAGCAAGCAAACAAAAAAACAGGAAATATATGAAACATCAAGTAGCTCTTTTTATTCTATTCCTATTTGTGTTAAAACACATTTCATGACCTGACATGAATATTCATTTAACAGTTCACTTTTCTTTATATGAGAAATTCAGAGACATTTAGAATTTTAATGAAATCTCATGTAGTTTATATTCACATCCATGAATTCAGGATTTTTCCCCAACTAAAAAAATAGAAATCATGTATTTTAGCTTATCAATACTAAAAACATATGAAAATAATCTTTTCTGATGAAAATACATTTATTTATAGGGATTAGATGGATACATCCAATTTCTCCCAAAGAGCTAAAACAAGTTGCATGTAGCGTATTTGCCTATGTCCATAATATACATATACATATATATATATAACAACTTGGAAATTTAGTAACATTTATGTAAAATAAGCAAGAATGTGAAGAGTTAACTGATTTTAAGGAGAATACACACTTAAGGCGTGGTTCAATACTTTAGTGTTAAAGTCATCAGGTTCTGAACTCTCAGTCCAATGTTTCTTACATCCATGTGACTACACTATTTATTTTAACAAATCTA